CCATGGTTGTTAAATTAAAACAGTCGTTGTTAAATGAAAACATCCTGGTTGTTAAATGAATCTGTTCCTGTGGGTGGGTTTTTTTTTGTCAAAAACAATCCCCAAAGGCTGAAAATTGGCAAACAATATCCTAAATTGTAGTAACGTGACCACAGAATGCTGCAACCAGTTGTAAAAGTGAGCAAGTAGTTTTTGATGGGTCCAGCATAATTTCAAACAGTTGCTAAATGATTGGTTATTAAGCAAAAACTACCTATATTCAATTCTGTTTCTGTTTATTCGTTTATTTATCTGTGTTCTTTGGTATTCTTGGGATTACCATTTTTAAACATAATTTATAATCAGATTATTCATTTTCCTAATTCCTATTGGATTATGGATCCCATAGCCCTTTTAAGTCCATTGGGAATGTGCTATTATAACTGCTGTATTATTTGCAAAGAGGGGAGGAATTCCATGTCATAAAATTTTAGGGACATGAATGTCAAAATTAGTCAGGCATTGAGCTAGTATAAAAATGAAACTGGTCTGAAGCAAGGATATAGCCTGCTGTCCTCTTTTTCTATGTGTATGGGTCTAGAGCAGGGGTCTCAAACTCAATTTACCTGGGGGCCGCTGGAGGCAGAGTCTGGGTGAGGCTGGGCCGCATAAGGGATTCCACAAAAAACGTTGTTAAAAAAAATATCCTCAAATGTTATACTTTCATATCACGGTGGGGGCCACAGGATATCGTCCTGCAGGACGCAATTGGCCCGCGGGCCGCGAGAATGAGACCTCTGGTCTAGAGAATGGCCTGTAAGGGCAGCACCTGATTTAGGAATGGGGTCCAAGTGTAATTTTTGTACTAAGAAAAGAAAAGAGAGAGAGAAAATAAATCCTTTCCTATATTTTAATCAAATAGAACTGAATTCAGCCTTAAAGTCAGAAACATCACATAGAGGGAAGATTTAATTTACTTACTACATTCAGTACATTGATGCATCTGTAATTAGTTGGGTCTTCTCTGTGCTCTGTGTGTGTGTGTGTGTGTGTGTGTGTATTGGGAGTATTGCGACAATATCCCAGTCCTTCGGCATATGCCCTGTCTTGTCAATATTAGCAAAAAAAAGGATTCAGGAAAATGTCCCTACTGAACCCACTTGGTTTTAAGGAATTTAAGTAGGGGATACTTGGTGCCTTGAACCTCTGTGTTCTAAGATTTTAATCCATTTGACCATTTCAGAAGAAATTGGTGGCCAGAAGAGTGTCAGGAACAAGTTCATTGTGAGCGATTGTCTGAATTTGACAGCCAAATTCTGCCAAACCCGTCCTGAGAATTGATACTGGATTTCTTCAAGATTTCCCTTAAAAATTGGAGTAATGATTTACCAGAAGAGCAAGGAGTTACTTTCTGTAACTAACTTAATCAGCCTTTGCCACTCCTTTGTGGCTCTATTTGTCTCTCAGGAGGGATTGACACTGTTTTTAAATAATTAATTAACAGTTGAAGATGTTCCATGGAATGATTTAATTTAAACACTTGGTATGTTACCTTGAACTTCCTCTTGAGATGTTCACGCTCACTGTTGGTGTCTTTTTACAGAGATCAGAATGACTGAGGAAGTTCCTCTCACCAGGTCTATATAATGATTGTGCTAATTAATGTGTTGCTCATAAAGCTCTAAACAGTCATTATGAAGTTCCATTAGTTGCAGATGAATCCCTATGGTGGTCGCAGAGCAGAATCCCTATGGTGAATATAGAGTTTAAGAGCAGACAATGCTCTTAAGCTTATTTCAGTTCTTCTAACGTGGATGACAGAATTCTGATTTTGTAAGACTGGGACAAATTTGTACATTTTTAAAAATCTCATCAATAAGTGGCATTCTTAATATTATAGGTAGTCCTTGGTTAACAGCAGTAATAATTGGGATTAAGAACTCTGACATTAAATGAAGTGGTTGTAAAGGTGATGTCACATGATTGTACTGAGTTATGACTGTTGTTCCAGCAATTCCAGTTGAAGTCATGAGGCAAATCCCACATAGCTGTTAGGTATGTTGTCACATACTCACCATTTGCAATCTCCTGCTGGCTTTCCCAATGACTTTGCTTGTCAGAAGCCAGCAGTAAAGTTCACCAATGGTGATCACATGATTGTGGGGACAGCCATAACTAACCAATCAGATGACAGCGGGAAGGGACCTTGGAGGCCTTCTAGGGTGGGCTTCAAAAATTTTAGCAAAGGGTTCTCTGCCCGGTTGCTGGGTGGCCGTAGCCATGGTGGAGTGGCATAGTCGGCCTCCTGCACCATGGTGTGTGTGTGTGTGGGGGGTATTTTTGCCCTCCCTGGCTCCAAAGGCTTTCCTCAAGCCTCCAGGAGGGTGAAAACTGTCTCCCCGGGCTCCGGAGGCTTTCTGGAAGCTGGAAATGGGCCCATTTCCAGCTTTCCTGAACTTCTGAGAGACCCATTTTTCACCCTCCCCGAGCCTCCATGCACGCCCTGCACTTACCTGCATCCAAAACGGGCCGTGTGGGGACTGCTGGGAGGGGCAGGGCGGGGTGGGCAGGGCAGGGCCAGCCAGGATTCGGATTTGGGAGTTCTCCAAACTGCACAGAATCTTAGCTAGGGGCTCTCCTGAACCCCTGCTAACCCTCAGCAGCCCACCCCTGCTTCTAGTCCAACCCACTGTTCAAGCATGAGACCCTATACCATTTCAGACAAGTGACTGTCCTGTCTCTTCTTAAAAGCCTCCAGTGATGAAGCACCCACAACTTCTGAAGGCAAACTGTTCCACTGGTTAATTGTCCTCACTGTTAGAAAGTTTCTCCTTAATTCCAGGTTGCTTCTCTCTTTGACCAGTTTCCAACCGTTTTTGCTTGTCTTGTTTTCTGGTGCTTTGGAAAATAACTCTGAGAACTGGCCATAAGTTTCCTCATTCAGTGCTGTCACAATTTTGAATGGTCACTGAATGAATGATAGTTACTAATTGTGATTCTACTTTCAGATCATATAGAGGTGAATCCAGATGGTTGGCCATCTATCTACCTTATTCAGAATTTTTCATGATTTCAGATTTTATCTTATGGCTCCTTTAGGAGATGAGGTCCTGGAATTATTATTATTATTATTTTGCTGACAATGATATTTAAAGCGCTGGTAGAATTATAAGCTCAATCAACTATGTGCCTAGTTGGGTATTTCAGTCTACTTCAATAATAAGTGTTGCTGCTGAGTGATCAGTAGGGCAGTTTTCAATGTACCTCTGCATATGGCAAATAATAAATGGAGAAAAAGATATGAAAAGGAAGTTCATAATTTGCAATAAATGTTTGGGTCTTGCAAGTAAACTTTGACTTCTGGTAACTGCCTAGACAATCCATGCAGTGTTCTTGGCCACATTTTTGGAAATGGTTTGCTATTGTCTTCTTCCCAGGGCTAAGAGAGAATGACAGGCCCAAAAATGACCAATTGGCTTTTGGTGAGGTGGGGAAAATATACATAAAAATAACCAGAGGTTATAGCATTGTGTTGGATGGGTCAAAAAGTTACTTTAGCCTAACAAGTCACAGGTACAAGTCTGGAGAAAGTAGCAACACTTAAAAATAATTTAATTTTAATTGATCTGTCATTTCTTGTTAGCTTGGAATACGTTATATGGAGTTTTTAGGTCAAAAATATAGATTTCCTGATTTATTATCCTGTGAGATGCTTGGAAAATTTGAAATGAATGTAGCCATAAGCTTTTTCTTTTTGAATCAGTCCTGTAAAATTGAAAGCAAAGTGAATGTATTGAAGAGAAAAATCTAATGGGTGCTCCAAGATGCAGCATTGAGGAGATGTGTAGAGGATATTTCCAAATGACTGAGGAATACAGTGATTCTAACAATTGGGTTTATTAGGTTCTGTCTGTGACATATAATCTCTATTTAGGTAATGTGTATACATCAGTCAGTTATACTTTTTTTAAATCTAAAATTATTGAAATTAATTGGTGTATATGAGTTCATAAAACGCAGTTGCAGTTATTTTTGCTAACTGAATATGAGTCAACACTGAATTTGGTTGAGAGTTGAAATAAATGTCATATGGAAGAGATTTATTATTATGATTCTCATTTGTTCGAATTAAAACAAATGGCAGTCACTGAGCCCACTTATTAGTCTGAGTTTGGATGAGAGAACCCCAACTCTTTCTAAATTATTTATCTTAAACACATGCGTACATTATACATCACAAAAAGTTATTTGCCCCAATGCGGATACAAAGAGACGAAAATTAGTTTATAGGTGCTCTCTGTTTGGGAAGGACTAACTTGGAGAATGTTAATCGGTTCATCTGTGGCTACCAACTACCATGGTTTCACACAATTCCACACTCTGCACCCCAAACTCCATTGTCCTCACCTTATGGTGCACCAGCACCTTGAGCACATTTTTGCACCCTCCCCCACCCAGAAGCAGCCACCCCAAACCAGCCCTTTGTGCACACCTAGTTTATCCTTCCCTACCTGGCAGAAGCTGCTTACCTACTTGTTATGATCCCCCTGTGACTTGCCACTTTCTGCCACTTTTCCACTGACTTCAGTTGTTGGAAAGCCAGCAGGAAGCTGTGAGAAAGTCCTCTCTTAATGACCCCTGAGTTAGCAATGGGGACTGCCAGATTGCTGTCACTAAGCAATGTAGGCACATGACATTACATTTTATAATCACATTGCTTAGTAATGGAAATTCCAGTGACAATTACTGTCGTTGACCAATTATTACCGGTATGGTAAGTACATTTACATGAAAATATAATAATTATTTCCCCTGTATTCCTGCATTTGCTATCTTGGTCCCTCAAGGGTTGGTCTGTCATCTGCTGCCTTTCCTTTGTACTTCACAAGAGAACATAAAAAAAGCAAGAGATCTATCATAGGATCTGCTGCAAAATGGCCTGCATGGCTCCCTTTTAAATGTTGCTGTGACTCCAAAGGAAGCCTGACCCCAGGGTTCATGGTGCTGTTTTGGTTCCCTAGGCAACAGAATGGGGCTCAGATGAAGACACCAGAAGATCATGTCAAAGTAAAGGAAAAACTGAGGTAAGTCTCCTATCTTATTTCTTCATACGTATGGAGACCCCCGTCATTAATATTAATGATTTCATGTAATTGTTTATGGGGAATTTTCACCTGAAAATGTGTGATACGAGTTGTTTAAAAGGATGCTATTATAACAAAAAGGTAAAATATGTGTTAATTCTAATGGCATATTTTCGGATTCTGGATAATAGTCTTTTAGGAATGTTTTCATGGAAAATTAAAGTTAATCTCCACTTTTTTGGAAGAGACTAGAACAATGGATTTCTGTGGGATAGATGGGTCTATCTACCCATAGAAGATCTACTGAGATAGAAGATCTACTTGCACGGTTTAGTTTAAATTTCTGATTAAGAGTTAGTTTGGTTTTACTATAATTTCAGGGAAGTATGCTTTTGGATTTAAATCACCATAGTGCCCATCCAACCAATTCCTTCTCAAGTGTTCCACTCCTGGTTCAGAAAAGTTTTATTTTATTTATTTATTCATTTAATTTTTCAAACGCTTACAATATAATAGAAATAAGAATAAACATAAGGATAAATACATGAAATAGGTACTTATAATTGGGGACAATAGGACAGGGACGGTAGGCACGATTGTGCACTTATGCACGCCCCTTACAGTCCTCTTAGGAATGGGTGAAGTCAATGGAGGTTAGTTTCAGGGTAAAGGAGTGGGGGTTTGAACATGTGACAACAGAATCAGGTAGTGAGTTCCAGACATGACCACTCTGTTGCTGAAATCGTACTTCTTGCAATCAAGTTTGGAGTGGTTTACATTAAGTTTATATCTGTCGTGCGCTCTTGTGTTGTTGTGGTTAAAGCTGAAATATTCATTAACTGGTAAAACATTGTATCATATGATTTTATGTACTATGCTTAAGTCCAATCTTTGCCGGCATAGTTCAAGGATGTCTAAACTTAGAATCTCAAGTCTGGTGGTGTAGGGTATTCTGTTGCAAACAGAGGAGTGTAGTACTCTTCTCACTCGAGTGAATGGCAGGCACATGCACCTGCCACTTACCTAAGTGAAGTTGTATGCACACGTACCTGCCCCTCACACAAAACCAGTGATAGGATTCAGCCAGTTCGCATCACTTCAGAAGAACAGGTTGTTAACTTTCTGAGCAGTTTGGTGAACTGGTTGTGGAAATATCATTAGGGCAGACAACCGGTTGTTAAATTATTTGAATCCCACCATTGCACAAAACCATTCCCTCTTCCCCACCTCTCCCCAACACTGGGCCACCAACCCAGAAAGCTTGGGGAACACTGGTATGCGGTATACATTCTAAGCTATAGTCTTGAACTATTTATGGATAGTCCAAACTCCAGCCTGACTAAAGCTGTTTTCATAGAAGCAAATGTTCTAGAATATTATGGAGAATCAACAATTTTCTTTAATTAGCAACTAATCATTGCTATTTAAACAGGACAAATACAACATACAGAACACTAGGGCAGTAGAACAGTGAAATTAGTTACTGTTGAGCTACTAATAGAGAGTTGCATTTTTATTGTCTGCCTATGTAAAAGACAGTTTGCAGGGAGCATGTGAACACATCAGAGAGAAAAGACCAAAACGGAAATTTTCCTGATTCTGATATGCCACTTGCAGTGTGCTTGGAAGAGAATTTTAACTGGATGTGATCATAAAACTCAGCTCCAAGCATGTATACTTTTGTTTGTCATTACTGCAGTTGCTAGTTCTGTATGGAACAAACGACAGCTTATCTTTTTTCTGAAAGATAATGTATTGAAGCTTTGCTTCCAGGCTGAGATAAATTTGAGATCTGATCCCTCATCAAGTCATAATGGAAATGAAAAGTAAACCATGTGAACATCTCCAAGGAACACTGTGATCTTGACACACTCATTCTGTGTGCTCCCCAGGCCAACTGTGACAGTTCCCATTCTGCTATCTACTCAAATAAGTGTCTTGGCTTCCTTTATAAAATACATCCCCAAACAACAAGGACATCTGACACTTTGCTTGTAGGCCACATGTGTAGTGCTTATTGTGGTTAATGTTTCAGTGAAATGATTCCAATTTCATAAATTAAAGGAAGTTGTGATATCTGTAATTATGGAAGGATCTTTCTCTGCCTTCAGGGTCATTTGGAGTGGTTGTGTATTAACAAAACTCCCAATATTGTAATGTTTTTCAAGCTTCTGTGTTGGGAAACTGGAAAAAATGTTTTTGACCTTCTGGAAGAGCTGGTTCTTCAGCTGCAGTCTCTTGTTGGTGGCCATTTATAATCTCCAGATAATGAGAAAGAAATTGAACATAAGATCATTTGAACAAGTTACGTTTCCTGAATATATATCAAACTTAACCCCTTTCCCCAGAAGCTGCACAAATAGAAATCCATAGACCAGAGTTATTTCAAGCTAGAGGTGTTTAAACAAGACAAAACAAAACCTCTGACCCATTGTATGGCTGCAATCAAAGTTGTTGATATTTCTTTATAAGATAGCCTAGAGGGGAAAATAGTAAGGTATAGTTTTAATCAACCAGCTAATTTCTCTAAAATGGCAGAGAATAACATTTATACAAAAGCTTCTATAATTTATGGGTTGGATAGGAAGTCTCTGTAAATAGTAATTGGAGTGTTTTTGATTATGCAGTTTTACCAGTGTTGCGCTTCTTATATTTGGAGATTTATTGAATTTCTGTAAAATAGACTGTTTGAACAAAGAGACTGATCAAACTGAATGAAATTTGGTGATTTTCCTCCTTTGGTGATTGGATCATGCAATGTCTCAGATTTATGTTTATTTATTTTATCTATATTTCACACTTCTTAACTACCCATCTCCCTCAGAGAGGGGCTCTGAGTTATGCCAATAGTTTTGCCAATAGCCCAGTTCTCTTTTACAGAATGTACTGCAAGGGGGATTCTCAGTTTTATGAAAATGAATTTTCCTGGCTTGCTCAATACTGAATTTGTAACAAATGCTACAGCAAAGATTTGTTTATATTTAACTTTAGCTTTACATACATTGCAATCTGAATTTTCTTAACTGTAATTCAGTGTTTCTTGCAAGTGCTTTCTCTTCAACTGGTTGCAACCCTTAATAAAGAGGGCAGTCTGAATCTACCAAATTCTGTGTGCTGCAAGCTACACTGTGTATATTTTTTTTAAAAAAATCTAAATAAATTGGGAGGGAGAAGATTTGAATGGTATTTAACATCTAGTTATATCATAGTTGTGTGTTCTAAAAACAGTTGGGATTACTAGATTTAAACTAATGGGGAGGAGATTAATAAACTCAAAGTATATTTTTATGAAAGACAAACACTCAAAAATCTGTGACTTTGATCTTTTCTACAGTAAATTACTTTTCTCAACTTGGGAAAGTCCAATACATAATTTTGGGTGTATCTGTCTTGAATTTAGTGTTCTTTGATCGCTTACATGCTTAATATCATTAGTTAGTATTTAAAATTAAACATGGCATATGTTTTTCTAAAAGTTATGCTCTTTAATTTATCATTATATTTCTCCAGTTATTCAGTGAAAGACAATTGGTATAGAGGCATTCTCATCTGTGTTACCGTAGCATGATATTTACAACAGAGTGTGAAATGGAAAATATGCAGAATTCTTGAATGTCACAACAGTGCATGCTAGAGAACTCTGAAGTATTCAATTTTTCCCCAAAGCATGCTACTCAGTGGCACAGAAGTGATTGCTGAAAGTACGTCATCCAAACCAAAAGCAGTTGGAGATAATCTGGACATGGCATTCTGAATAAAACAAGCTTTCTTTTTTTAGAGCTAGAACACCTCTAGAAACTATTAAACTATACAAGTATTTACCCTGTTCTTCAGAATGCTCCATTCCCAGCTCAGCTGCAGATCCCAGAAACAGACCAGTTACTATCTTTGCTTGGAACTAAACTCTAATAAGCTTAACAATTTAGATTGGCCATCTTTCTGTAAAGTGTCTTTTCTTGTCTTTGCTTTAGGAGGAATGCCAAAACTATGTTCGCGTTCTCATTGTTTATGGCAAGAAGGTTTTCACTTGTGGCACAAATGCTTTTTCACCAGTATGTTCCAGCAGACAGGTAAATTGTACCCTTCCCTTTTCAGGATTTGCTGGAGAATAAGAATGGAAGTATGATAAAGGACGCCCTGTTTCTTATAAATCACACTAGAGATGAGATACGTTAATGTTGCATTAATTGAATTTAATAGGTGCCACTGTAAGAGACAAGAAGGAAAAAGTAATAACAAAGGACAGCATATCTTACAATGCAAAGAGGATAGTTGCAATTGTTGACATTAAAAAATGTGTTGTGCCTTTTTTGCAATATAAGCAGATGGGCCAGTTTTACTTTCTACTAAAAATTATGTCTGTATTCATTAGTTTATCATGTCTGTACTGTTATATAGAGCTGCTTGGGAGATGCTCTGAAAAATGCTAAAAACTACTCTTGGTCCAAAATACCAGACAAATATTTAAAGTGAATAAAAAACTAAATTCAAAATGTAGGATTTCATAAAAGGAACAACTAGACACAAGGGCAGTTTTTTCCCCGAACACCATCACTCTGGTAAACAAATAATTCCCTCAACACTGTCCAACTATTTACAAAGTCTGCATTACTATTATTATTAATCTTCTCATCACTCCTTATCACCCATCCCCTCCCACTTGTGACTGTATGACTGTAACTTTGTCGCTTGTATCCTTACTATTTATATTGACTGTTTCCTAGTATGATTTGATTGCTTATTGTACCCTATGACTATCATCAAGTGTTGTAACTCATAATTCTTGACTCTTGACGAATGTATCTTTTCGTTTAGGTACACTGAGAGCATTTGCACCAAGACAAATTCCTTGTGTGTCCAATCACACTTGGCCAATAAAGAATTCTATTCTATTCTATATGTAATTCTGTTGCTGGAACTTGCTTCTAGTTGTTTCTGGGTTAAACTCAGAGCTTTGCGATAATCAGTCAGGCCTTCCTCTGTGTGTCCCAGTGTCCCCAGAAGCAGTCTTGCATACTTGGAATCATTGAGTGTATCTCCAAGAGTAGGACTTTCTTCAGAGCCCTACCTGAGGGACTCCAATCCTTTTCCCGTTGCAATGGAATTTCAGGGGTTAGGTAAAGTCTTCCATATGAAATATGAGATTCAGCTTCAATGTATGAATGAAGAACTGAAATGGGTGAACTACAGTCTTTTAGATGAGAACTTTGATGAGAAGAATGCATTGAACCATTTTGAGAAGATGAAGATGTGACCCTAGAATTGAGATAGATCCAGGGACTGGCATAGAAAGTTAATCAGTCAAGAACCAGAAATAGCAATGGAATAGATGTTTTTAGGACAATAATACTTTGCCCGATAATCCTTATGAAAGAGATGGGGAACCTTGGACTTTCCAGATGTCACTGAACTACAGTGTTCTGTTACTTCACCCAAAATAGCTAATAACGAATGCCGCTGGAAGTTGTTCAGTAACATCTGGAGGACTATTTTCCCTGCCGTGCCCCTTAGGTCCTGGTTGTGCATGTATTAAAAATAAAAACATAATTAACTCTATAGGGCACAGGTGTAGTCTGCTACCCCATGGCAGATCATTAAAATCATTAAAATCCTTTTATCATAGTTCTTGCTCTGAGTGCATATAGCACCTTCCAGAGTTACAGTGAAGTGAGATATTACACATTTTGTTGGTCAGCTGTATTTGTTTGTTTTTTTCTCACTAGCCTCATTATTTTATCTTCCGACTTTTTTTTTTTTTTTTTAAATACAGGTAGGAAATCTTAGCAAAATAATTGAAAAAATAAATGGGGTAGCTCGCTGCCCCTACGACCCCCGGCACAACTCAACAGCTGTGATCACATCCCAGGGAGAACTGTATGCTGCGACAGTCATTGACTTTTCTGGACGGGATCCAGCCATTTATCGCAGCCTTGGAAACATCCCACCTCTTAGAACAGCACAGTACAACTCTAAATGGCTTAATGGTAAGAACTCCTGGTGTAGTGAAGAGCATTTAGTTCAACTGGACAGTCTTAGAAAACTATTATTTCTCTTATCTCATAAAAATCCAGCCTGAATACAGTAGAAAGGAGCTTGCTCCCAGATTGAACTTCGCTAGCACTGATAAAAAGGAACAGAAGCAAGACCAATAAAAATGCAGAAACAAGACTGATAGGGTATAGGCCTTTATCTTTTCTTATTCTGAGAACTGATGCAAGGGCAGATTCTGCCAGATATTTCATTTGTGTTCTTATTGCCTACAGCTGCATAAACATGTCTACCGTATTGCTTATATCCTACTATGTCTTAAAACAAATCATATATTTAAAAGCTTGATAGCCCATGAAACCCATGTTTCTTGCACCAGAATGTCAGGCATCTAAGTTTACCCTATGATTATGCAGAGATAAGATAAGAGGCAGCAACAGCTTTCTTCCAACCTGTTGGGTGCTTTGTCTTTTAAAAATACAGGATTCCTCAGTTGGAAACCTATTCAAAACAGAGATTTCACCATTTTTGTTTTTTCCCCCCAAGTGATCATATATAGTTTTTGAGGCCACATTTCAAGTAACAGTGCTTCAGACTAGTACAAGCATGAAAACCATTCTCCTTTTATTTCATTATTTATAATTTATTAACTATAATTAATTTCCAGCTATATCTTTAAGAATGTTGTCTTCACATTAAAATTACAATTTGGTCATACAGTAACACCTGAAGCTTTCAAGAGTTACACCCAATAGTTGGGGAGGTGCAATTAATCTCTATACTGAAGCCACAAAGCACTAGCTTTGCTATATTTTTCCCTATGGTAAATTTGATAACTGAAGCTCCTATGCTGGACAGCTTGGCACTTTAATGTTATACGAAGTCCCAAAGGGTTGTTTTACAGTAATGGCTGCATTACAACTGTTGTTTACCCCAAACTCTTAGTTTTTGCTCACATAGATAGACCTTCTCCAGAATAATCTGTTTTGGCCCTTCAGGTTGGCCTTTTAAGTCTCTTAAAGATTTCCCCCATTGCTGCTGAACCAAATCTTTTCACCTTGTTAATAGTTGTCCATTCAACCTTTCTTAGCATTATTGACTGCTAGCTTTTCCCATAATGTGGAGCCCTTAGTGCTTGATTGTTTCCCTGCAGACATTTCATTATGCAACTAGGTAACATCATCAGTGCTTGCAAGTGTGAGGTTAATTCCTTGTTTATATACAGTAGCTTGCCTGCCATTTTTTGGTGAGGTAGTGGTTTTCTCCCTAGTAGTTTCTTGATTAGGGCATTGTTTTCGGCTCGATTGTTTCTCTAGCATTAATCCCTACTTATCTGGGTGCAAGCTTCTGGAGAAGATGTATTCTGATCTTTTTGTTTCCTTCTTAGTTTTTTTTATTGTCTCTTTTTAATAGTGTATACATATGTGTGTTAAGTGATAGCTGGTTTGTCTAAATGCAAGCTTCTAGGAATTCCCTGGCGTTTTATTTATTTTGGTCTAGAGGGCTCAGTTTCCCAGCAGTTTGATAAGAAGGGACCTGGAATATGCTTTCACTATTAGATCTGGTAGAGCTAAACTCTTCCACTAAAACCTAGCTACTCCAGATTTTAATGGAAGCAACACCCTCCCAGTGATTTTACATGGTTATATCACAAAGCTAGTACATGTCACCACCCCCCCTTTCTCCATCCCTTTAGAAATAAGGAAATCTGTTCCCCATTATGCCACAGTTGGCTCCTCTGTATGGCATAGGCATTTGTCATGTATCCCTCATTTAAAATATTGTTCATATCCTAAAGGTTCCAAGGCTGACTCAGCTTTTTAAAGGTTTGGCCCTCTTTTCCTGAAGACGTCTTAAATTTAACATTAAGCTTTTTGTATTTGATCTGAAGTTTACATAATATCAGGGACATTTCTTTCATTTTTACATGATGTCAATATGCAACATCTTTCAAGCGTTGTTAATGTGCATGCACGATTGGTTAACTTTTTTGTGTTCTTCATTCGATACATTTATAATATGTTTCTCTTTACAATTGGGAACATGGTACTTTAACTATAGATGAGAAAGCTGAGAAAATGTCCCCCCCCCCCTAAAATTGTAAGTAGGTACCTAGTTTCCATTGCTGTGGCACATTGCACAGCCATAGACCAGCAAAATAGCAAATACAAATTCAGAATTTTTATTCCTTAACTATTCTTAACTATTCCATTAAAAGTTGACTCAGGCAAAAAAAAGTTTTATAGGACCTCTCAGGGTTAGACTTGAACAAAATCTCATGGGAACAGCCGTTCCTTAGGTGTAGGTGGCTGTTAAGAATGCCATTGTGTCTATTTTGTGGAAGTATAATCCTCTTACTGAATCAAGATTGTGCTGTATTGCGGTTTCAGAATGGCAGCTCTGACTCAGGCAATTTCATCTGACTTTAGGAATTTTTTTAAAAAAGAACATTTCTAAATGTTTGGAAACAATTCCAGTGGGAAAGAGAGGAACTGAGTTTGCTGTACTCTTTGGCTGACTTATTCACTCAACTAACAATGTCCCCCTGGGTACTTTTTAAGACTGAGATGCTTTAAAAACCCTTCTGCTTTCTTTCATATAACTTTGATCAATGTAATTTTCCTCCATCTTTTCTGGTTGCTTTTTTTTGGCCCAGGTTATGGAGATTTGCATTTGAACAGTTTAATTTTGCTGTCTCGAAAAATATATATCAAACCATTTTATCATTTCCAATATTAAATAATTACTTATTCAATCTCCTCTGCATATGGAATCATCTCTCAAAAGACCTACTACGGGCCTACGGCTATCACCAGTGTGTTGAATTATACAGACCAAATAATTCAATAATGAAATAATTTGTGAGACTGCTTTTTAGGCAGTTAGGGAAAACTGCACCATTGGTAAATGTTTATGGCGATTCTTAATCATCCAGGTCATGGTTGTCCCAAAAGTACTTTTTAAAAGGCAACTGGACTTTGTTTTGTTTTTTTGAAGACATTTCCCCTTTCACCCAAGAAGCTGCTTCAGCTCTTGGTTGAAGAGCTGAAGCAGCTTCTTGGATGAGAAGCAAAACATCTTCAAGAAAAAACAAAACAAAATCCAGTTGCCTTTTAAAAAGCACTTTTGGTGCACCATTGATACAGATCCCTGGGATATAGGAGAATCAGTGCAAATAGATTTAATGATGAAAGTCAATTATTGCTGTTTATTGGAGGTAGCTGAATGTAAGGAAAAGAATAAAATATCCCTGGAATGAAGGTGCACTTGGCTAAAGGCCGTTAATGTATATTCACATTTGAGAGAAGGTATGTCTTGTGTATGTGTTAGCTGAAAGAATCTTGCAAAATGCCTTAAATACTTGCTTGTTGTGATTAATGGGGCTGTTTAGCTTAATGGCTATTCATTTAACCAATTAGCTGACTGAAAAGCAACATTGAAACACTCAGTATGATGGGCTTCCCTCTGAGGCTTGCATTAGTAGGAACCTTTCTCCTTTTGAAAGTCTCCTTGAACTCCGGTGGACTTTGCTGACAACAGTGCCACGTAGCTTTTCACATCTCCAGGGAATTTCTGTTTATCATCGATTAACTACAAGCCAACAGGCAAGCAAGTAATATTACTTGTGTTTGCTGTCTCTGTACCCATATATCTCATCCCAAATAAATCCTCAACCTAATGATTTAAACATGAACGCACAACTCAACTCCATGAGGAAAAAAAACAAGCAAAAAGCAAAAACAACAATGAGATTGTATGTGTTCTACCTCTATGTTTTGATACTGATGGCTTATTTATAACATGTAACTTATCTCTTGATGCTGAGGAATCAATTATTGATGTGCTTTTAAGTATCAGACCATAACTTGCTTGTGTTTCTTAGATGTTCTGGAAAAGATTTGTTTTTCTCCTTCACGTCCCCTGTGAGCATTTGTCCATACTTCATACAGAAAGCCCAATTTCTTAATGTATTTCTCACTGTTTTTATGGTTTAATTTTTCTCCAGAGCCCAACTTCATTGCTGCCTATGACATTGGTTTGTTCACTTACTTCTTTTTCCGTGAGAATGCGGTAGAGCATGACTGTGGAAAAACAGTCTATTCTCGTGTGGCCAGAGTTTGTAAAAATGACATTGGGGGACGATTTTTGTTGGAAGATACATGGACAACTTTCATGAAGGCTCGGCTGAATTGTTCCCGTTCTGGAGAAATCCCTTTTTACTACAATGAACTGCAAAGCACATTTTATCTTCCTGAACAGGATTTGATCTATGGAGTATTCACAACCAATGTGTGAGTTTGTTATTTCTTTTGTCTTCCCACTCAGTTGTTGCTAATGCTTTGGGGGTTTTTTTCCCCTATAATGCTGTATTTATTTTAAGAAGTCAAGGATTTTTCCACCAAACAATTACCTTAAAATTGCCTCTGTGTGTGTGTGTGTTGTGTTGTGTTGTGGTGTGTGTGTGTGTGTGTGTGTGTGTGAGGGTGAGAGAGAAAGAGAGACAGAGAGACAGAGACAGAGAGAGCGCTCTATAGGGGGGTGTTGATCATCTTATATTTGCTGTGCCAGTATCTTCAACTATCCCTTGGTAAAATACATGGGTGCCTGCAGAATAACCTGAAGATAAGCTGAAGCTTAAGAGGACTTCCTTCCTTGCTCTGTGAATGTAGCTCTTTCTGTAATATCTGAAGAGGACTTGGAGTGGAGGGGTTGGTTACAATTAGTGCGGGTAAATTAAAAAATAAGTTCAGAGGAGGAAGTTGGTAAAATGCCTAATGAGAATATCTGTATACTACTAAAACTTTTCCTTCTGTATCTTTTATACCTGGGCGAAATGGTACATCACAGGGCAACCATTTTTGAACCAGAGTACCTCAAATGGACTAACTCTGTGAGGAGATAGGCAGTTTCAAAATCTAATGAATAAAGAAACTTACAGAACGAGTCCAAAATCTAGAACTCCTGAGGGAATGAAATTTGGGGAAGTTGGGGCTGCTAGTCAGGTGTTCCTCGTTTTCAGTGTTCCAGGATAGTTTCCAGACACTTTCAAATCCCTTGTTCCCTCCCTCACACAGAACAACAACAACAGGGAAGAAGGACCCCTGCATGCCCTTTCCGGTCAATGCCACCTCCCCATGTTCCTTTCCCAACTCATGCACCTCTTGCACACTCCCAAGTACCCTCCCTGACCTTCACCGTCCCCCACATCTGTGTGGCAACTCTTACACATGCCCACACAACATTCCTGATCCTGCTACCCCCCTGCGTTAACCCATGCACCACTCTTAATCCCCCCTTCCTTAAACCATGCACCACCCTTACGCATCCCCAGGCTCCATTCTTGACTTGTGCCACTTCATCTTCCCTGATCTATGTAGCAGTTCTTGCACACCTCTGTACACTATTCCCAATCCATGTCATTTACCTGAGTGCCTGTCCCGACTTATGCAGCACCCCTCACAGACCTCCAGGTATGTTTCCCAACATGTATTTCCACACACACACACCTTTGCTCCGTCACTCAGCCAGCAGCAGACCCTTGCCTGCCTGCTGACCTTGGACTTGGAACTTGCTGCTGTCTTCCTCGTTGACTTTCTCCCTGCAATCTTCCCATAAACAAAGTAAAATACCAGCAGGAATTTGAGGGGGAGGGGAGTTTCTTGTTGTGGCTAGTCCCAAGTTCATGAACCTTGGTTTTCCAGAAGGAATAACATTGGAAATTATAGTCTGATTTATCTGTGGATGACTCCAAAAAAAAAAAAAAGCTGTGACTGATACGGAGAAGCACAAAGCTTGTTCATATCTTGGTGTATTAAACTGAGGTGTGATTAGCTGGAAAGGATTCTTACTTGGTAACTATCCAAAGTTGATATCTCTGATGAATCAGGGAACCAGTGGTGGGATTCACAATTTTTTTTACTACCAGTTCTGTGGCCATGGCTTTGTGGGCATGGTGTGGCTTGGTGGGCAAGGCAGGGGAAGGATACTGCAAAATCCCCATTCCCTCCCCACTCCAGGGGAAAGGTACTGGAAAATCCCATTCCGTCCCCACCCCACTAGCCTGCTTTCCAGCTCCGTTCTCCCGTTCAGGGCAACAAAAGATGACCCAGCCGATCACTGGGACTCAGGAGGCAGAGAATAGATGGGAGCGGGGCCAATCAGAGGTGGTATTTGCCGGTTCACCGAACTACTCAAAATTTCTGCTACCGGTTCTCCAGAACTGGTCAGAACCTGCTGAATACCACCTCTGCAGGGAACAGTGTGTTTCTTTCATTGTTCAGTGTATATATAGAAGTTAATGTATTTTTCTCCATCTCACCCTTAATTGTTTACACTGCACCCCTGGTAGTAGAAAACAGGAGTTTATGTGCAATTACGTCTTATTTTTTTCTTTAACTTGAGAAGAAAAAAGACATTAGAGAACATCTTCAGAAGTGAATAGACAAATTATTATTGATAATAGTTGAAGTTAGATCAAATAAAAATTTTGTGCTGTGACACAATGTTCTTTCAAATATTCAAAGACAGAAAAATGTTCCAATTTGTCAGCCATCTAGATAAATAATGGTAATTATTTTTTTAACTTCTATCAGGACTTGTGTCATGCTTATGCTTCACGCATATAAATTAAGCCTTGTGTTCACTCCAGTAATATGATTGATATAAAGGTGCCTTATTTGTATCTTAAAGCATACTTGCTTTTCAAGGATAAGGAAAATGTATCTATAATCACAAACCTTGAAGCTTTCATGTAATGAAGTCAATAGCAATTTCAAAACAAAAGCAAAAACAAAAACAAAACCCCAAGGCTTCAGCCAGTTTGGTACACTTCATTGTGGAAAAATGTCTCATATTCCAATTTATTGTACACTCTTGCATAATACAAAGCTAGGTCAGCAGGAAAAATGGTATTTAGGGAATCAACTTTTGAAATATTTAGAGTTGTTATTAAAGTTTCCAGATGGGTCACTGAAAAACATTTACAAACTTTTGGATATGATGTGTTTTCTCATCGGCCTATTAATCTTTGGTGGGCCAAAACTACACAGCCAGTCTGCCTTTTAAATGAAATGGTGATCAAATATACCCATAAATGCTGGAGAGGGACATGCTGTGGGTTTTTTGGTTTTTTTTGCATGTCCATTGCTTTCCCAACAATCTGTCACTTTCATTTAATGCGCCAATTCTTCAGAGACCCATATGACATAAATGCGATTATACAGCAGACAAAACTTAATAATAGTATATCAGAAAAGTCTTTCTTGGACTTCCTCTATACTCTTAGAGTTTTTCTTTGCAATAACATTTTGCAAAATGGAATTGCAAAATAAGTTAACTTGGGGCAGTGGTGTTGCCTGCCTAGCTCTGTGTTTATATAGTATTAGCTAATTGTCAAGAGTCTTCTTGTAGGGGAGATGGGTGGCATAAACAAACAAACAAGCAAATAAATAAAAAATAAAATAAGATAAAACCAATGAAGAGAATTCTAAGTGAGTTCCTGTACTGAAGGGGAATGATTTAGAGCAGTGTTTTTCAACCTTAGCAACTTGAAGGTGTCTGGACTTCAGCTGCTAGAATCTCTCAGCCAGAATGCTGTTTCAATGAACATGCACTCAGTGAACAATGAACATACATCTAGCATGTTGGCTGGCTGGGGGAATTCTGGGTATTGATGTCCATGATCTTCAGGTTCCTGAAGTGGATTTATAGCCATTACGTAGAGTTGGAGAATGCAACTTTTCTTGGCAAGGGCTCACATTTACTTTTTGAAAGGCATGCTGATTTCTAAAAAGTTATCTCCAAAACTGTTCTCCCCAAAGAGTGATAGTAGGGCTAGGCTAAAAACCAGAGTTGATTTCCTTCACATCTGAATTTTGATGAAATCAGAAGCAGCTTGTAGGATAACTCTTGATGTATTTAATCAGAGTTCTTGGTCACTTTAACCAAGAATTTCTTCAGAACATTCTCAATCTCTAGAGGTTGCAGGCACATTTTTTGGGAAGCAATGTACTGCCCAGGTTGACTTTAGAGGGCAAAAGTTTAGCTACTTATAGGTTAATACAGTAGCTCCTTGCTCTTCACGATTCTTATTAGCATAGCTAGGAAAGTAGGTTCTTTGTGGGCTAGGAAACTAAATTATACAGAGATACTACATTTCAGCTGATTTGCTCAAGAAGTATAGTTGGATAAAGATTTTGAGAATCCTGAGAACAGAATCTACCTCACTCCAACTACATTGACTTCTTATGGTTCCATAAGGCAATGGCAGCTGATTTGAACATTTATTTGACCCCAGAAACCTTGTTGAAATGATAATGGCTTAGTATTGAAAAAAAGCTGACACCAACCAGAGCGCAGGACAACTCAAAGAGCTCTAATGCAAGATCAGAAGATGTGGAGAGACCTAGCCCATAGAATCTCCAAGAGTCAGACATGACTGAATCATCATCATTGTTGGGGAAAAATCACAATAATCATAATCATAATAATACTAAGCCACTCTGTAAGACAGTTTGGAATGCTTTGCATACTGTAACACTACAGTATTTGTATACTTCTGTGTATCCTTTTCACTTGAAATTTTGGAATGTTTGAATCAGCGGAATATCTCTGAATCAATTGTTTTCAGGGTAGGCTTCCTTGTTTATTGTTCAAGCTCCAGTTCTGCATTTTCAGCCCACAACTGCTGTGCGTGCTGACAGAGTTGTCACTCGGCCCAATATGCCAGAACCAAGGCAAAAAACTGTTGAATCATCCAAATATGAGTTTCTGCTACGAAATTTGCTGCGAAACATTCAGTGGCTTGCTTCAGAAACCCCATTCCAGCCTCTAACCATGTGCAGGTATTTTTTTGTTTTTTTTTTTAGACTATTATTTTGCTTCTCCACTTGTGCCTGAAGGCATTAGGTTGTCATTTGTCATTAGCATTGTCTAAAGAGCAGCCTTCTGTGAACATGCAACATGTCAGTAACACTTAGGCAGGAATGAAGAAAGGTTCATCATGCAGTGCTTTGACAAGTTCACAGCCAACTGCTGCATTGCTCAATTGAAGGGAAGGATGGCTGGGAGAGGAGAGCAAGCCTGCAGACTTATTCCTTTAGCAACTGCTTTTGCTTTGGCAAGAGGAAAAAGGGATCTTCTGTTCAGGTACAGATCAAGAAAGTTCTTAAGATGTTTTGATGAGCCTGGTGGAGTCTTCCTAAAAGGGGCCTAACCCCTTTGTGAAGAATGCTAGACTCATAAGCAGTTCCTGCAGCACGTGCTGGAAGTTGCTAGGATACTAATTCAAATA